TCACTTTCCTCCTATAAGCATGCTCCTTCCCAGCACATGAACTGATTGGCTCATTGTGCTGCTTCTCCCTCTCTCATTCTATACAGGGACTACAACAGCATTATATCTGCTCATTTAAAAAATAAGGCACTGCTTGCATTTAAAAAATAAATGTAATAAGGTTTTAATGAATACAGAGCTGCATTTATTTGTGTATTTTACATCTGCTTGGAGTTCAGCATTAATTCTTATACATAATGAACCATGTGAGGGGCCTCTACAATTAGTTATATTTAATTCTGATTAGAGTTCTGGTAGTTCATTTTGATTTTAAGTGGTGCATGATATAGTTCTTGATATACGAGGTAAGAAAAGATATACATACAGTATAGCAAATGATTTAGAAAATACACGAGGCAGCCAATTATCACAATCATGGTGCATTACTGATTAAAAATGTATTTAAGCGTTGAGTTGACCTTGTGTTAGATTTATCAGACAGTGTTCTTTTAATAAGCAGAAGGGCAATCATTTTAATTCATTTGTTTTTCTGCTGAGTAAGAGTTTTGGCAAGCTAGATCTTTTTGTCTTTTCTCTCCTTCACCTAAGCACTTTGCTGAATTGGAACATCCACTGAATATAATTTTCTAATCTGCTTATCAGTGTCAATTTTCCATTCATTTCTCAATTTTGCCTAGATCACCAGTTAACATTTCGTAGAATTAAAAAAAAAATCTGTGCTATTTATTGGAATTTATGGCTTGAAAAATAAATGATTACATGTCACTATGTAGAAACCATACTAGAATGTCAAAAATAATAATGTGTTTGTTGTTATTGCAAACCTATAGTCAAGCTAACACCCAACCCCTCCAATTCTAATCACCTTACCCACTCTTTGTAAAAGAAAAGCTATTAGTTACAAATGCCAAGGCAGATGGCCATGTGATCTTACCTGAATGGCAAGGTTAGAGTTAAGGCAGAGCTACTGACAAGCTTAGCTTAAGAAAAGTTCCTTCAGCCTCTTTGGGTGAGATTGTGTCATACTGTTTTAATGTAAGCTGTGTTTTCTGCAGGTTAGGAATTTTATTTATTTTTTACTATTTACTAGGTCAACAGGTGATTGGCGGTCAAGATGAAGGGTTGTTATTTTGACTTCAGTTGTATTTTTTTCATATTAAGCTTAAAAAGATATAACATATTTAAAATCCAGGAACCCATTTTGTTGCCAACATAATTTCCATTCTATTTTTCACTGTGATATTTTCTGGAGCTAAAAAAAGAGGAGCTAGATTGATTCATTGCTTTTTGAGTGAGAGATAACATGAAGATCTTCTTTTTCCTGGTAGTCTTTTTATATGAAGTCAAAGGGAATTATGTTCTTTGTTAATGATCCTCCATCCCCATGCAGGTGCAACATAAACATTAGTGTAGCCAGTTACAGTAAGGACATGAGCTGCATTGTAGTAGGAGTGGCAATGTTACATTTAAATGATCAATAATTTAAAGGCGAGATTAAATACATTTGCCAGTAACATATCAGGTCTTCTTTATATGTATGGGTTTCAATGCTGATGCTTTATGCCCTTTTTACAGTTTATTTAACATGTATTTTACAAATAGATTACTTAGTAGACCTACTTAATAGATTATTTTACAAATAGAATATTTAATAATGGATGCACACACAACACTGGGGTTCCACAGCATTATAGGTTTTCTGAAAAGACTTCCAGATGGCCCTTTTCTGATTGAATCTCAATATGACTACATATGAACAGAGCATGCAGGGGAAATCACTCTTCTGAATCATTCAGCTGTCCATCTGTAAAACTGGACTAGACATATAGGCCTTTTTTTGGCCTCTTTTTTAAAAGTTAAGATTAGTCCAATAAATGTGTGAAAAGTAGCCTAGAGCTTTACATACTGGCTGGAAAAATTAATGATTAAAGATTCATAACTTATATTTCATTGTTTAACTGATTCAAATAATGAAAACATACATAACTGACATAAAAGTAACCTTAACCAAAATAAATAAACTATATACAAAACACTATACAATTAATTTAAGGAGAATATTAAAACAATTATTATAATTCCTATATGACCTTGGATCCACCTATGAAATGGATTTTACCCTTTACTGATCATGGTCATTAATTTACATATACAAAGGGTCAAAAGTCTCCTATGCCTTTACCTGCCCCTACCTGTGCAGTAAGAGGGTTGGGAATGCTACTCTTAGCTTTACTCAAATACTGGCAACATGCACCTTTCTATTGTTTAATAGGGAACATGTTTTGCATTATTGGATGCAACAGGGGGTGTACAAGAGGTAAAAGAAAGTAACTGAATATATTTACCTATTTAGAATGGCAGATTTTTTTAACTCCGCAGGAACTCAGAACAGACTTTGAGGGGGAAAAAATCAGTGGGCAACTTGTGGTTACCAAAATGTTTTTCTTAACATAATAGTGGGAATAGATAACATCAAAGCAACAATGTTTTACTATTAATTGAGTTGCAATTGCAGCATGCATTTTACATTGTTTCAGTTTAGTTTGTAACACCATGATTTTGCTTCATGCCTCACAAGTTTGCTCTAACAGAACCATGGTATGTTATACAAGTGGCCTTGAATGATTTCTCTTTGCCATATACAATATTTATTGCTGAACCTGATTTCATTCCTCAAATGCAGTACAGCCTGCATACTGGCAAAATGCAGATGGAGAAGTGTTTTTATTCAGCTGAATGGATTACATTATCTTTTGTCATAGTTGTGTGCATATAAATGGTTTTACACTGTTCCAAGATTTAAAACAGTTTGTGCAACATTTTCACTGCATGAATTAATACATAAGTAACCTGCTAAAAGCTTTTGGCAAAATATCTACATTTAGTAATTTCATTTTCAATAATGTATATGTGTTTTCCCTTTAAGCTTTTAATTCCCTGTGGTCTTCTATAGTCAAATATATTCCATTTTTTGTTTGTACTTTAAATTATGGCATTAGTACTTTGGAGTTAAGTGAAGCACAATGATTTTCACTAAAATAAATCAAGTAGACTTTATAGAATGACTAGTTGTTGTCATTATGCTTAGCATTAATCTTTTTACACAGCTCTAATTGTCATATTTCACATCTACATTTTATTAACCATCTTGAAAAACTGAAAAGAAAACATAAAAAAAAACGTAGGACTATGTTTGGCTCTGAATCACCCATACTGATAATTACTATTATTATTATTTGTTTCTTCTATTCAAACTTTTCAAAAATTGCAGCTTTTAAATGTGATCTTAAAATTACTTGAAAGATAGCATAACATGTAGCAACATTAGTGTTTTTATACCATGCCAGATTGTAGTATATGAAACCCAGGCATGACCAGTTTAAAAGACTGTCTGACCTTCATTCAACAAATTGACAAGAAACATGTGGGAAATCATAGCAACAGATAAACTTGAGACATTGCCAGTGAATAGGCTGTTCACTTTGCAAGGGGATTTTTACTTTGCAAGGGGATTTTCCCTTGGCTTAGTGAACGCTGTGAAACTGCTGACTTCCATCATCCAATTATGTGCAAGCAAGAATACTTTATTTTCCTTGCATGTGATTGGGTATTCTTTGTAAAATGAACTTTTATCAAATTCACTAAGCTACGGGAATATTTTGTTGCTGAGTGAACATCCTTTTTGACTCTAGTAAATCAACCCCTAAGTCTTTCTGTCTTATATGACTTGTGTGAAAAAGTGTATTTCCACCTTTGCAGTCAAATTCAAGAAAGCCCCACTATATGTTTGTTATGTGTTCCGATTCTAACAGCATACCTAAAAATGGTTAAAAAAATATTTCTTACCTTTTTGATGTGTCTGCATAGCAGGCTTCTCTCTCAATAATCAAACTGACAGGACACTCTGTCTGTCCACATAGAAAGACTAAGTACAATCTGAGCTTCCACTCATTAAAATATAATGTGTCTAAATCTTTAACCCTATCTTAGGACAGACATTGTTCAAATGTTACAAGTGAAAATAAAATATTCCCGAACAGTAGAGGCAGGGTTCATTATGTTTCCATGCCTAGCCCTCTTTCCATTCCAGAGCAAAACGCAGTACAGAGAACAACAGTTCCATTAAAATTGGACATGTACTGTGCAAGTAGCAATTAAAAAAAGTTAAGTTATGCTATGTGAATGAGAGTCAGGTAACAAATATAAAATAGGTGTTATCCCAATATGGCTGCAAAAGAGGAAATATGCAGTAAGGCATTTGACCCTTCACACATTCTGCTTCTGTTCTGTCCTTCCAAGCTCTTTAGTGGATCTTCAAAGTACAGCATGCATGAATGGGGTCCTTGAACAGCAACGCTCACCTTTCCAAATGTTTACTTTTCTCATAAATAGTATCTGCTGGCATCAAAAATCTGTCATTTTCCATGTGTATGCTTGGTTTATGGGATCAGCTTTAAAAACCCCTAATCTTCTCAGTAATATAAGGAATGTATATTTTGTACTTGAATTAAAAAATAGAGTAACGATATGGGTGATAGGATAGATAGATAGATAGATAGATAGATAGATAGATAGATAGATAGATAGATAGATAGATAGAATTGCTGCTTCAGTTATTTAACTGCATAATATACTTTTTGCACACTGTCAAACAGGTCAGAACATTTGTAGGAGGTGTCTTGATATGTGTTTCTTTTCATGAAATAAAACTACTGCACATCAAAAATTGTTTGATTGACAGCCCACATGAAAGATCAAAATAGATCAAGCCCCTGAAATAGTAAGAGTCAGCTGAAACTAGGCCTGAGGCATTTTGGAGTCTACCACACAATGTTGTGATGCAAATATTTATAAGTCCTATCCGTTCACGTAGATTTAGTCTTTAAAGTCTATTTTAATAGTTAATAAAGGACAAAAATATGTATTGATATAACCAACACGTTGATTTTAAACTAGATTGTTTTACCTTATTCATTTTCTTTTTTTGTTTTCCTAATTAGTGAAAAAGTCCATAGATTTTAAATCTAGAGGATTTAAATTGTTTCCAGGCAAAGACCTCAGCAGCAAGTTTTCTATCTGTGAGTGTAACCATTTTGTTCCTCTTTTGGTGCAACATTGACCTCTTGTGTCTGTATTTGTTTTTGGAAATTGAGATAAAACAGCATAAGGTGACTGTATATTTTTATGTAAATTTCAAAGCTATATGAAACATGTAAGATTGTATCTATTAATGGTATCAGTGTTCCCTTTGACATACATTTTGTGGATATTAAAAGGCATCAAATTTCACATTATAAGATGACCTAAATTATTGTTATATATCTATTTTTATGAAAATAATTGGTTCAAATTAAATTGTTGACGCCAGCATTGATTTCATAATATCATAAGACATTGAACGTCTTTTTATATGCAATTATTAAACCTGTACTGTGACATATAAAACCAGAAGACTTTTTTTGCTGACTTGCAGATCCTACAGTTTCCTAAATGTCTGCAATAACTCAGAATGGGACAGCTAAGGGTCTAGGAGGAAAGGAGGGTGGTTAAAAAAATTATGCATATCATGTACATGCTGACATTATTTGACAAACATTTTGTAGCCTGTGGTGCTGCCTTACACCATGCTGTGGTGCATTTTTACTTGCATTGAATATGCTGTTATAAAATGCAGCATGTTGGATTTTTTTGCCAGTTCACAGCAATGTATTACATTACTGTAAACTGGCACCATTTAAAACAATTTATTTTTTCAAACTTCCAATGCATGTTCAGCCGACCCGAAGTGCAGAAGAAGTTCGACTCAGCCGATCCAACATCTGGATCTGCTAAGCCGAATCTTCGGCTGGCTACTCGCTGCTGTTCAGTCTATTCTCATAGATGCTGAACAGCAGTGAGTGAATAGCCGAATGCCGCCGAGCGGCATTCGGATCGGCTATTTTGCTCGGTACCTCTGTTGTACCGAGCAGAATAGAAAAATAGTTTAAAAAGTAGAAAAATAATATAGAAAACGATTGGGCGGAGCAAGGAGTGACAACTAGCTACACCCAACTATTTTCTATTGGCCGGGCAGTTCTGCTGCCGTCAGAATAAAAAAAAAACATCATAGGAATGCAAATCTACATTCCTATTGGCTATTTCACTTTGCAATAGCCAATAGCAAACTAGCTATTGCACCCGCCCTCTGCTGCTGTCAATCACTAGAGGGGATCCCCTGATGGAGAACTTCAGGTCCCCTCTGCTGATTGACATCAGCAGTGGGTGGGTGCAATAGCTAGTTTGCTATTGGCTATTGCAAATTGAAATAGCCAATCGGAATGTAGCTATGCATTCCTATGGTGTTTTTCTTTTTTATTCTGACGGCAGCCAACGGCTCCGATGTCAGAAAAAAAAGACAACAGAGCAGGGAAAGGTTTACTCTGCTTGATTGAGCAGAGTAAAACTTTCCTGGAGAAAGTGTTTCTCTCCCAGGCGGCCGGGAGCAGCTATCTAATAGCGGGAGACTCCCGGAGCATCCAGGAGAGTTGGACTATCTGGAGCTCAGCGTCCCTGGTTACCTGGTAACCAGGGACGCTGATCAGTCTGTGCAAGTGGCCGGAGCCAGCAGTCATTGGCCGTTCGGCCAGCTTCGGCTTTCACCTCGGGTCAGTCGAGCCGAAGCATATGCCTTCGGCCGACTTCTGGAGCTAAACGGAACTGAACTAGAAAGTAATAGGTAATCCAAAAATGTAGAATATGTACCAGAGCAAGGTGTAAGGATAAATCATCCAAAAGGAAAATGTTCTGGTAACAACTAAGATGGCAATTTTTCTCACTTCTCACTGGGGACATTTCCTCTCATTTCCTGTTGTGTCTTCAAGACTGCGAAGGGAAATTCTCCTTAGCAGTACAGCATACAATAACCTGATATGGGTTTTAACCCTTCCCTACTCTATCCAGAGATCAAAAAGACATTTTGGCTTTACATACACTGTACAAGTACCTTTAACTAGAAATATATATTTTTGGCCATATAGTGTATATATAAATTTCTTATGGGCATAATTGGATGTTTAAAGCAAATTTCACTTTGCCTCACTTCAGTGCAGTAGATCACCCCCTAGTTGAGAACCTCAGAATGGGCATCCCCTAGGGGGTAACTATCTTCAATCAGATTCTTGTGATCTCAAAAGAGCTAATCTTTTTAGCAGCCTACATATCTTAAAAATATTTTATAATCATATCTGTTTATCATTCGAAAAATCATTCTCACAACATTCCATTTGTTTCACTGAATTCATGCTAAATTTAGAGGGGGCACAGAAAAAGAGAAGTAAAAGCTGCTTTTTTTTTCTCAAAATATTTTTTATTGTGTTGTGTTTTTTATTGTGTTGAATATTGTCAGGTTACAATATTATGCATTGTATGGTTGCATCAACATTTTTTCAAATTAAATTTTTTCCCTTTATGTGCATATAATTATCCAAAACATCTTGAACATTGCTATCTAAAGCTCTTTTCCTGATCACGACTCTGTGGGAGACCTCAAGTTTGGGGGTCACTTTGTCTGTGTGCTGTTCTATAGTATGTCTGTGAGCTTTTCTATCTTGGTGGCTGAGTGTCTTCGTATACCCTCCTGTTAAGTGCTCTTGGAGTATGTTGTCCCCTGTTTAATGCTTTGCTCTAGATAGCTTTCGCCATCCGGTCAGTGTCTCCAACCTGGTCATGACCAGTTGTGTCCAATCAAAAGTTATTATTAAAACAAAACAGAACATATAATAACATAATATAACATAAGACTGGAACCAGTTCAGTCAAGACTCACCGACTTCCCACTCTCTGCCTCTCCATATTTTTCCTGCGTGTCTTTCTGGTAGCCCTCCCCCCTCATACTCTCCATTCCATCGGGAAATGTAACCATCATACATGTTCATGATAACAGTACTACTATAGGCCGTGTTTACACAAGTACACGGGGTATGCTGGAGTTGCCCCCCTGTTGATCCCTGACACTCTGGCAACCATCGGTTGGAGGAGAAACTGTGGTTCCCGTGGTGGTGGCTAGACGTCCTAGGGAACCCTGCAGTTCCCCCTCCAGATACCACACTGAATACCTAAAGGGGAGAACTATTTTGTGAATCAAAGTAGCCCTATATTGAGTCAATATAAAAGGGCTCCATCGGTCAAAGAATCTTGTTGTTGCTTTATCTCCGTCCAGGATAGCCTTCAGTCTCTCCTGCCACATATTTTTTTCAAGGTTTCCAGTAATTGGTGAAAGTGAGGAGGATCAGGGGGTAGCCAGGACTTCATCAGTACCCGCCTAGCCATTAAGAGACACATTTGTAGCCACAGCCACTTGGTCCTGGGCACGGGCAGGTCTGCTTCCCAGTAACTAAAGAGACATAACCAATGTTGACATGGCAACTCAGTTCCCACAATCCCAGCTACTCTCCCCTTGGTGAAACTGAATTGGTTAGGATGTATAATACCTGGCATTATTCCTGCGAGGCAGTCTGCCAAGATCTTGGACAAGATCTTCACATCTAGGTTGATTAGCGATATAGGTCTATATGACCCCGGTTGTGTCAGATCTTTTCTGGATTTCGGTAAGACTTTGATATATGCCTCATTCCCTGTAGGTAAGTATCTGCTATCTGTCCATAATTGGGAGTATAACTTGCCCAAGGTCGGGAGAAGGTCTGGCTTTAAGAATTTTAAGAATTCCGCTGTGTACCCGTCTGGTCCTGGTAATTTACCCCCCGCTATGTGAGAGATAGTGGAGGCAATTTTTTCCTGGGTGATCATGGTGTTCATGATATCCAATTGTGATTCAGATGTTTTAGGGAGAGTGATTGAGTCTAGGTATAGTTGTGCCTCTGGTGACAGAAGTTGTAGAGAGAATTATAGTATTCCCCCAATAATGTGTTAATGATTTGTGGATGTGTGAGCTTCCTATTACTGGTGTCCACTAGGGAGTGCATTTGGGAAATAGGTATATTTCCTCTCGCTAAATTGGCCAACATCTTGCTGTACTTGTTTCCATACCTATGGAATTGTAAATCCCACATGGATTTGGAATATATCTCCTAATTGTCCAGTCTGGTCTCGTATTCCCCCTTTGCCCGGATCCACTTGTCCTGCAAAAGAGGAGAGGGGCGATCTCGAAATGCAGAGTAGGCCTGTCTCAGTACTCCACTGGCCCTGTAAAATTCTATAGTTACTGCCTTAGATTTTCTGTGGACTTCTGTGGCATAATTATCCCCTCAAAAAGGCTTTACTGGCTTCCCAGAATGTGACAGCAGAAGCGACAGAGCCCCCGATGCAATCCGCATATTCTCTCCAACTTGTGCTTATGAAGTTTTGGAAGGACGTGTCCTTCAGCAGGTGGGAGGGGAATCTACAAATCCTGGCATCCCCCCAGGCAGCGTAGACTGAATTGTTATTGCAATGGGAGCGTGGTCGGAAATGACCATATCGTGTATGGTAGGTTTGGTCACTTTAGAGAGTAGGGCCGGGGAGCAAAACAAATTGTCTATACGGGATAGGAAAGCATGTACATGTGAGCAGTGGGTGTATTCCCTCCCCTCTGGGTTATGTATTCGCCATGCATCCTTCAGGGACAGCATGTTTAGGTGCGCCAAAGCAGTAGGGAAATCTGAAGGTTTCGAAATTCCCATACTCTTTGCCGACCGTCTGTCCTCTACTTTAGAGACCACATAATTCATATCTCCCCCAACTATAACGTTAACACATCCTTCTTGGGCAATATCTGCAGTGAGTTCCTGGAAAAAAGCCTGTGGGGGTGAATTTGGTGCATATATATTGTAAATTACATAGTCAGTGTCATATATTCTGAAATGTACTCGAGTTTGGTGACCCTCCGTGTCGTGGGATGAATTGATTATGTGGAGAGGTAATGTTTTTCTAAAGAGTATGGCCATTCCCACCTTCTTCCCCACAGCGGGAGATCCAAACAACTCTCCCACCGAGAATTTCCGAAGGCGTGGTATGTCTCAGTCGGAGAGGTGCGTCTCCTGCAGTAATGCAATGTCTATCTTCAATTTAGCCAAATGGCGCAGCACCTTGGATCGCTTTTGGG